TCGTCCCCAAAAAGCAAGAGGAGGCATACGAGAGGGTGAAGCGCTTCCGCGAGGAGCTGTCCGAGTTCCGCGCCAAGCTCGACGTCGTCAAGAGAGCCCGCGAAGAGGCGCAGCACCACCACAACCGCTCCGAGCTCCTCGGCCGGAGACCCTACAACGCCACGCCCGAGAACCCCTACGCCAGCGCCGGCGCCAGCGCCGCACCGACGACGACGCACTCGTCGTTCCAGCCCCGGCACACGAGCTCCCACAGCGCCTCCCTGACGACGGGCGCCGGCGACGACCTGCGCGAGGCGCACGCCTTCCGCGAGCAAAACTTCTTCAACAACACCAACCATGCACTCGACGACTTCATCGCGCGCGGGCAGGCCGTGCTGGGCGACCTGGGCCAGCAGCGCGAGACGCTCAAGAACACGCAGAAGCGGCTGTACGGCATCGCAAACACCCTCGGCGTGAGCGGCGACACGATCCGCATGGTGGAGCGCCGTGCCCGCGAGGACAAGTGGATATTCGTCGCCGGCGTCATTGTCTTCTTCCTGTTCTGCTGGCTCGTGATTCACTTCCTACGATGATTTTTACAAATTTGGTAGCGTGCGGAGCGGCGCCTTGGCGTTCTTTTCAGGTATGGGGATATCAAACTGTATACATTTCTTTCTCTCTCGCGCGCGCGCTTTGATAAGCTATCAAAAAGATGACCCAACGTCCCTTTGCCCGTTCCGCCAGAGCACGGCCTCTATGCCATGCTCTTTCATCCGTCCTCCTCGCCGTCGATGCAGCTCAGCGCTATCGTGAAGAGGACGTCCTTTGTGGTCTGCACCTCGACAATCTTCGTCTCCGGGAGCACGTGGTTGCTCGTGCTGATCCTGCCGCCCATGCGCGTCTCCCAGTCGGTCACGTCCCACTCCAGCCCCTTGGTCGTGATGCGGCTCGGCTCCTGCAGCGGGATGATGCCCACGTGCTTGCCAAACACGTCCTCCTCGCCATCCTCCCGGACCTGGATGCGGTGGGTGCCCGTCTTGAGGAGAAAGGTGAGGCTGGAGCCGGAGAGGAGGTAGACGCGGCCCTCGGCGTAGGCGGGGTCGGACTGGAAGAGGTAGAGGTGGTGCAGCTGGCTGAGGCCCTGGTCGATGCGGCCGCCGATGCCGCCCAGCGCGATGATGTCGGTGCCTGGGGGCTGCGTCTTGCGGATCCAGGTGATGGCCTTGCCAAAGTCGGTCGACTCTTGGTCGGTGTCGTGGATGATCTTGGCGGGGGTGTGCTGGGA